TCTCAGACCCTCCCACCCCCATCGACTGCAGTGATTTCTTCTACACGGACCCAGTGATGGCTCCAGGACACCGGATTTACAACTGGCTATCCAGCTCCTCCCAGGAAGTAAGCCTTTTACATATCATCTTTCTTCAATTTGGTGTAAAAACAATGCGTTTTAAAAGGCTGGACAGGACAGGGGAAACCATTAAAATAAAAACCATGAGGCTGTTTTGATTGCAAACCTATGCTCTGGTCAGGGAAGTCTGGCACCTTGTGGTTGAAAGGGACACTGCAAGCTTCAAACACACTGACATGTTTAACTTGACATGTTCTTAAAAATCAGATACCTGGGGGAGCATGTGCCCTCTTTTAACCAGAAGGAAGAGGAGATGCTTTTCTCTTGGGGGTTGGAAAAGGCGTGGCCAGAGCTGTCGCTGAGGAGTATCTCTTGTCCTGGGGTAGGACGTTCCACTGATTAGCACGGTCTCCCCACCCCTTACCTTTTTCTGGACAAGCTGGTGGTTTGGAGGGGAGAAGGACCAGAGGGTGTGGATGTCCCTGGCGGGCTGCTTCCTCTACGGACGCCTCCGCCCACGTGCCTGGTCCTTTCCTTTTTTGCCCAGATCCTCCACCACCACCTGCACCTCAACACCCCGGCTCCCATCATGGCTATCCGTGAAACTCCAGCATCGGCACCACCCCCTCCTCCTCCTCTTCCTCCTCCAGCTCCTAAGCCTTCCACCTGCAGAGAGTGGCTCTCGGATCTGGAGTGTGAAGTTGCCTGCGCCCTTCTGGAGCTGCCGGACGGAACGGATTGGGACTCTGCTGGGGGCCGCCAATCTCCTCCTCGGGTGGGAAAAGTGGAGGCGGGGAACGAGAAAACGACTGCTCCAGATCGGCTCCTGTAAGCGGCCCGTGATGGGGCTCTCATGCCCCTGGGGGCAAGGCCAGAGAACCCCCTTCCTCACCTTAGGCCTGCCAGAGGTGTTTGGGGCTTTGGACCTCACAATTCCTGGCCTTTGGCCATGCTGGCCTGGGATTCCTCTGGGCTCAGCTCCCAGAATACCTGGCGGACCTGCACCTCGGCAGACGGAGACATCTCTCCAGCCTGGCCCCAAAGGGCTTCTCCCTCATGCTTTTGTGGGTGGATGTGGCTGTATTGGTTCTTGGAGGGGGGGGAAGAAGGCGGGAGAAGCCTGTGCAGAAAAGAGACCCTGAGCACCCCCAGCAGTGGAGCCAGGTGGAGGGGCATTTAGACGGGGGCAAACAGGTGCCACTGGGGTATCCGGTGGCTGGTTCACTTTTGAGAGGGTTGTTCCTGTTGCTTACGAGTTGATTCCCCCGCCACCCCCGTTAGCCCTGGGTGGGAAAGTGTGTTTGTGTGTTGCTTGTTTTTTGGGGAGGGTGAGTGGGTGGATGGGGAGGCCACCCTAGATGGAGCTGGGAGCACATCCGGTGGTGGACACACCCCTCCCTAATTTCCCGTTTCTGTGTTCGTTGCACTTTGTTTCGAAAGCCCCCCCCCTTCCAAGGTGGGCTGGCTGCCGCGGAGGAATAAAATTCGTTCCACTCGTTCGGGAGGGGCCTGCAGGTGTGTTTTGTACCCCTTAAGCTGGAGGTGGTGTGACATCCCTTCCTGCCCCACCTCGGGACACCCCCCCATTCATTCCCCCCCCAACCAAGTGGGGCTCTGCTGATTGCTCCCAGAGCAGCCCTCACCACTTGGGTGCCCTCCCTGGCCAGGGATGATGGGGCTTGTAGTCCATTGCGACTGTAGTCCCACAGGCTAGAAAGGCTTCTCTGAGGCGGGTGAGAATTTTGTGTCTGAGGAGATCTGGGGAGGGAAACACACAGACACACACACAGACACAGACACACAGACACACAGACACACAGACACACACACACACACACACACACACTTTTTCCAAATAGCCGTCTTGCTTCCAGGGGCCCAGAATCCATGGGGCTTTGCTGCAGACTGAA